GGTATAAAAAAAGTCTCGCCTTGGGTAGCATCTTTTTAAAGAAAATAATTAATTTCATTTAAAAAAACAAAAGTTACTGATTGATTAAATAATTCTATTTTAAATAAGAAATGATTATGCGCAGTTAAGGTAACATAAGAAAACATTTAAAAGATCATTATATTAGTGCTACTGAAACTGTTAATTATTTCAGGGTTTTATCTAAGTGCAAATCCAAGTTTGATTGCTTAATTAAAGAAATGCTTTGGATCAAAGAACTGAAACCTACACTTAACAAACAAACTGATTCAGTCAAAGCCAAACTGTTTATAGTTAATCTGCTAAGAAGGGCTAATTATTGCTTAGCTCTACTGTGGCTCCACACAGTAGGCCCTATTGATATGTAAATTAATTACTTACTTCCTGTCACTGCTTGGTATATTTGTTTTTAGTTTTTTCTCAATTTACTTGATCTTGAGAATGGTTCCATGATGGACCCGAAACGTCGATCTTTCTTGTCATTAAATTTTGTTTTGAGATTATGTTCTTAATTGATTTAATAAATAAAAGCCACAAATAATAATTTGATTTACTAAATTTCATTATGCAAAAATAGTTATGCTTTAACATAGATTAAAAATATGTTACGCCTTACTTATTTTTAATCTATGGTCTTTTTAATTAATTTTCTTTCTTTTTATTGGAAATTCCGTAGTGCAGAGTAAATTTATCAAAAACCATTAGGTTTACAGTAATATGAAAAATATATAAAAAATTTAGTTTATACAGAAATAGTATCTAAAATGAGCTCAATTTCCAAAGTTAAAGCAAAAGATCTAATCTAAACACACAATATTAGGCAGGATGTATTTGTTTGGAAAAGAACCCACTCTTTTGTGAAATTAAGAGGGTATCTTTGAATATATTATCATTGAATGTTAATTCTTGCAAAAAGTAAAATGTAAATGGCAATTTGTTTGATGTTAGATTCCTTTTAAAAACTAAATTATTTAAGACAACAAAATGCATATATTGAATCAAGAAAATCAGTTTTAATACAGAATTTGATTATTGGGGCCATTTTTACCTACCTGTCATATGGGGCCATTTTTACCGGGGCCATTTTTTCCGGGGCCTTTTTTTCCGGGGCCATTTTTTCCAGGGCCATTCTTACCGTACACCAAAAATTCAACTTATTGTCAGAATCGTAACCGGCTTATTTTGTCTGCGGCCCAGCACGATCAAGACGCGGCTGTTTTTGTCCAACTTCTCGTACTAACAGTCAAGAATCGTAAAAATTCTGAACTTACGTCGACAGGAAACCAGGCCTAACCCTAACCAAACGTTTTTTGTGGTTGACAACAACATTTTTAAGGTAATGTCAGGGACATCAGACCCCCGTCGGGCAAATACTGGCGCCTCCCCTGCTTTACAGACTATAAAACAACAAGTCGTCTTCATCAGGGTGAATGGATGGCAATCCAAAAAAAAAACTGTAATTATTGGGTAATACAAAACTGTATGAACCTGGCAAAACTATACGCGTGGTGGTGGAAGTTCAATGAAAATGGCGGAAAACACTGGAGAGGCCACTCATATTCAGGAGTCAAAGGAAGCTGCTGTTGTATGTTTTCTACAATTTTTCTAGCAATAGTTAGTCCATCATTTTAATGTTAAACCTAAAAATAACTGGATAAATTCTGTAATGTAAGGGTTCTAGAATTCGAATTAGGCTAGGCCTAGACGTAGGGCCTTGGCTAGGTGGTAGGCCGCCTAGGCCTGGCTGGTAAAACGTACAATGTACTGTATGAAATGTAGGCTTGGACCACTCGGCCTAGGCCTAGAAGCATATCATTGGCTTGGCCTAGCGAGCGTCGGAACATGACGACGAAACCTACGTTGACGTACCTGTGTTGCATATTAATGAGGTGACAGTGTCTAGGGCTATTGAATTTAGGCCAACCTAAAAAAAGAATTTGTTTCCTGGCCAAAAATATATCCAGTAGGGAGGGAGGGATTTTTTTCTTATTTTTTTTTTTAATGAACATGTATGCATAGTTCTTGTGTTTCTATGTAACGGTATTTTCAAACAGAATATGCATGCATGTTTTAACACCAAACTGCAGTAAACACAACAAAATTTACCACTGGCAAGTTCTCAAACACAGAAATGAAGACAGTTCTAACTATTGTTTGTTTGGATATAACTTTATTATGCTGTGGAAGGCGTCAAAATTAAAAGAAAAATGAGAGATCCGAATGGTATTCAAATTTCACTTCTTTTTATTTTGTGGTTTTGGTTTCCGTTCCATCTTTACACTTGCCTGATAGCGCTTAGAGACTTTTTGTATTTTGCGCTCTATAAATTAAAAACCATTAACCATTAGGCCTACAGGCTTACGCAGCTAAGTCTGAGGGGGCCTAGGCCTACAGTTGGCAGCTTCTAAAGCATTCTGATCCCACTCTAGGCCCTGCACAAATTTGTTTCTATCGGACATTTTTACCTTCTTAAATACCTAGATTGTGGATTTTATTCCAACACAACTTCCATAGATACTTGTTTATTATATTGATCGTTCAATAAAACAATCAAGCACTATGTTGAATTTTAAAGCTGAAAACGATGTTTGAAAGAGAAGTACTGTAAAATTTGTCGCATGCACATGTGTGAAGCCATAAAAACACTGACTTTGAAGAGGCCCGTTAGAGGGCCTCCTTCACTTGAGAATTACATAGTACTGTATAGTATGGTGTGGTGTGTTGTATGCATAGTAATAACAGGTACAATTCGAGTGGGTTTTTTTTTTTTTAATATTTCGCTTCAATTTTTATGACGTCATCACCTTTATATTACGTTCGTAAAATCGGGAATTCATAAAATCGGGGTTCGTAAATGAGGGGTTCTACTGTATTCAATTTATTGTTTGTTTGGTTATAACTTTATTATGCTGTGGAAGGCGTCAAAATTAAAAGAAAAATGAGAGATCCGAATGGGTCAATTCAATAAACTGAGGAAGACAGACTCGTGGACCAAACAGTGTTGATCGTGCTTCTAAGCCTGACAAATATTTACAATTTCTGTATTTAGGTAGGCCCTAGGCCTGCCTAACTAGCTAAGCTAGCTAGGACAGATAGGCCTGGGGGGCCTAGGCCAAACTACTGTATTTAGGCCTAGTGTAGACCTATAGTGCATACATCCTAGCTCCCTACCTTTTCCTTAGTATCATGTTAAATTTAAATATAACACAAGGCGGCAGCAGCCGAGGAGTCAGGGGGAGGGGGCAGGTGATGAAGACCCCCATGGGTCATGGGCCCTCCGACGACCAGAGTTTGAATATCAGCCAAGAAGCATTATGCAGTGCGTGTTTTTTCTTGGATTCTTCAAGTGGTAAAAGAGGCGAAAACTTGCTTCGGCTACCCATTAGGATGTCGAATGCATTCCTTGCTGGGGGATTGCCTTCTATTTCAACAGAATACGCAATATACGGTACTTTATGTTCCCAAATTCCATAACGGTGTCTATGACTTCATTTACGTCTACATCGAATGTGTCTGTAAGTGTAGACACGCAAACGTCAACAGTATGGCTAGGCTCTACCAGATGGCTAATATTCAGGCTAGCAGTAAAATCTTTAAAAAAAAAATCACAAAATGTTGTTTCTATTGGAAATCTTGTGATTTTGTTTTTTAGAATTTGAGTACTATTGATATGCAAACCGCCCTTTCGCTTGGCAAATTCGACGCCGCCATGATTTGTACAGTGCGTGCCTAGGACGTCCTAACCTCAAGCCCTGTTCAGACTGGCCCCGTCCATTCCCAGACACATATTTTTTCATTCGCTTGTTGTGCAATAAAAAAAATATTTCAAAATCATTTCGTTTCAGTTATATTTCAACTGTATATCATAGAATGTGTTATGTTATGGCCTCCTACTAGTATCTTATCGTCATCCAGTAGGCCTAGGCCTATGTGTGTTTCCTTGTCTCTTTTTTATTCCGCACTTATTTGTTTACGCGCCTAAGCTTTTTTACAGGTTTGTGGTACGTCCTATGCTGCAGCAAAAACATTTTTGTAAAATACTCTGCTAGGTAATGAGAGGAGGAGACAGCAGAGAGAGATGATGGTTCAATGACCTTGGTGCCTCGGCCCACTGCCACATCACTGCCTGTAGGCCCCTAGATAGCTACGAAGCAACTTCGCTTTACAGTAAAACATATTAAAATAAAGAAACAGAAAATATTTGACATACAAACAATGAGGGGTCAGTCCACAATGGCTGACTATCTTTCTTTCTTTTTTTTTTTTTTAACATCCTTCCACTTGTAATAATTTCAAAATATTTTTTACCAAGATGTAATTAACATTATTAACATCGTACAATTAAGAATTTCTTCAAGTCATTTTCATAAAAAAAAAAAAAAAAAAACATATTTATATACATATACACTGCACATATACATAATATTATTTTCTTTTTAAATTCACCCTTTACCTTTCATGGGAATTTCATTCTCCTTTATTTCTTTCTCTTTTTTTATTTTTATTTATTTTTTTTTGTTGTATGGAATACACTCACATACATATACAGTACATTTCACACTCATCATATATATCT